ACCATCAAAAACTCACCGAGTGACTTCGTAGTGACAGAAATCGAGATGCCCGAACACTTACTTAGGGATACCCGCGCTGAATCGCTTCAGAAAACTGGTGAAGCGCCGCTAGAAGAAAGTAGCCCGTGCCTGCAGCACCCCAAAAAGCTGAGAAAGGAGCTGCGTGCCGAGGGCTGCCGTGGTGGTGCGCCCCGTCCTTCGGAGCGTGACCCAGGCTGGCCAGGAGGCGACCCTTCTGCATCCCCTGACAAAAACCAGCGTGAGGGTGAACCCAAAGTGGTATCTGGCCTCGAGGAAGCCAGTACATTGGATTCCTTACTAGGCAAACCCATGAGTGAACTGCTCAGTAAATTTGCTTGTGATCTGAAGGAGGCGTGGGACGTGAAATGTAACGCCGATGCTGGCACTGGGGAGTTCTTGCTGGGACCGATACTGGACAAGAAAAATCGAGCTGATTTACACAGTGCCATTAGGCAGAAATTCCCCTTTCTAGTCACTGTTACAAAAGACAATGAAATGATTGTAAAAGGAAATGCTGATTACAGAGAGCTTTGTCAGTTAGTGACTGAAAAGGAAACAAGTGATTTCTTTAAATTTTTAGATGCAAAGCTAGAAAATTCTACATTTTCTTTTGAGCCTGATGGAAACAAAGAGCACAGAAAAGTAGTTCACCACTTTATCAATAGAAAATTTGGAAAACTTTTAGAAACAAAGGCTTTCACTGTGACAGATGTCAATGATCAGCCAAATATGTCAATAATGGTACGATTTCGAGAAAGAAGTGGGTCCAGAAAAAGGTCTGCTGGTGGTTTCCAGGGAAAACAAGATCTTTATACAGGTAAATATTACATTTGTAGTGAAGGTGTCAGGTATTATGGTGCTCTTTAGTAAGACTGAGACTCGGAATCATTGTTATATGATATACAGGCCTGGTTGACCCATTGTTTATGCTGAAATAAATCATGAATGCAGTGTACTTACATCACTGGAGAATGAGATGGATGAATCAAGTTACTGCAGTGATTTTACATAAACTGTTCAGTGATAATGGTTACAGTTCTTTTGGGTGTAGCACTAACTGCGTTACTCCGTGTGTGCTAGCTCTCCCTTGAAAGTAATTGGGGGATTTTAGAAGATGCATCTAGATGATGGACAAGTTAGTAACGTCAAATTTGATTTATGATCTCATTCCATAAAGCACTTGGTTTGTGATATAGAGAGTGTTTCTAGCAATAAGTCAATATGTGTCCATTGAATTGTGTTGCATTTTATCAGGTACTGTTTTTAAAGACAGCAGGGGTTTCTGGTTGTTCCAAGAGTTTTGTTTACTGTGTCTCTATTTTTCAATACTGAAAAAGTCCCATTTCCTTCAGTTTTGTGGGGTGGGAGGACTGTTTCTTTGCAGTTCCCATGCTATTATAGTTTGAAGGGAAGAACCTGCCCATCTGTCATGGCAGAACACCCGTATGATTTAGAAGTGCAAATTCCTAATAATTCTGAGATGATTGTTTCAGCTTTCACCCTTCAGAAAGAAAATCTAGAAACACTAGAAGCAATTGGCCTCTTGGCTGCTGAACTGGGCGTTCTTCCTTCAGACTTCAGTTATACTGGCATCAAAGATAAGAAGGCTATTACGTACCAACCTATGGTTGTGAGGAAGGTGACTCCTGAGAGGTACTAACAATCTTGGTGCATTCAGTTTAGCACATACTTGTATATGTTAATAAGTATCAACATGGTACGATCTTCTGAAATGTTCTTATTGATGTGTCTTCCCTTCTGCTGTGTTAGAGCATGGTGGAAATGGCTGTAATATTTTGTAGCTTTAGGAAATACACAGTTTAGGGCTGAAGTCCCCCGGTGTTGGAATTTAAAGAAAAGTCTCGCCTTTCTCTGTATTTTTCATAACATGAATATACTATATCTTCTGGGACAGTATCCTTCCAATTCTTGCTCATGGGATCCACTTTACAATTTCTTAAATACCATCCACTAGCTGGAACCGAGAAGCAGCAGCTTAATACTACATGATGCAGCAGGTTTCCACATACTATCAAAGCATTGTCTTGTCCACAGACAACAACTTAAAAGCTTTATGCGGCTACAAAACTAAAGTAAATCATTACAAATAGACTTTGGACAGACGCTGTCTTTGAGTGTTTAGTATCAACTTCTATTGTATTGTCCAGTTTAGAAACACGAGGCTAAGTAAAGCAGATACCACCAAACCTGAGGGCAGAAAATACATTCTGAATAACGTGTCAATAATACAAGACGTGCCTTTCCATTCCTCATTTTTGTTACTCTCTGTAGCCAGCTCAGTGGGTAAAAAATATATATTAAATTCTGTCATAGCAACAGTAAAAATGCCAGAGTCAAAACCATAACTTGTTTCTTCCTCAGCTTTAACTTTCTAGTGTTTTTTGGTCTTAGCAGCAAAGTACACTTTGCAAGTAAAGGAAAGTAGAATTTACGTTTTTAGGATTTATTGCTAACAAAAATATGTATCAATAGTAAAATTCCACTGCAGACTGGGCTGTAAGGCCAGTTGTTCAAGAGCTAATTAGCAAAACTTTGCATTAATGTTTAAATGATTATGCAAAATGGTTAAATGCTTCCG